CACAGAGAATAGAGAAGAGACAATTAAAAGCAAACATGCACCAAGGAGAACCCCCATAGCTGTCCTCCTCCCCTTTCACTAGCTTATATTCTTCATTTGACGTTGGCTGATTTTATATTCAGGACTTTGTCATCACTTTTGCATATGCTCCACCAGTGTTTACTTTTCACGCACCCTGTAAGGGCAACAATTATGGAGAAATGCCCTAACAAGTATCTTTTAGTTTAGTCATTTTCTGTGAAAGTCTTCAGGCACACTAATTTCTCTGCAATCGATACTATTTTCTGTGATCTTGCAAAAGTGAATATAGAAGCAAAGTATAGTAAGTAAATAAGTTAGAAATAGAGTTCTTCTGAGAGTAAAAGTCTTTTTTCAGTATGACCAACTTTCTCCTTGAAAACTGCTGCAACCTGGAACATCTGGGTCAACCTTTTAAAAAACTTTGTGGAGTAATTTGTACGGCTAGGGTTCTCTGGCTTCTCAAAAACATTCCAGAGCACTTCTCCCTTTTTTAATTTCTCAAAAATGATGTGATTCTGCCTCTTTAATTTGAAAATAAGTCAGTCTTATAAATGATTTTAAAGTTGGCAACACATTCAGGATCATTACCATGCACGAAACAGTTAATTATTGCTCGACAAACGGCTTTCGGAAGGGACAGGACATAGGACAAGGGTGTTACTGTTCTGGTTTCAGAATCCTAAAGACTTCAGGTTCATCTACGGCACAACACTATGATTGAACCTCCAATGTGTTTACCATTAACCTTTCGTACCTCTACCTGTAATTGCACCTGGCATAATGTGATGTAGTGAAACAAAAAGTAATTATTTGAATCCACCACATCATAGGTAATGCTGCTGTAAATGTTCAGTGGTTATCGTGTAATTAGAATAGCTTTGCATAGTTTCTTCCAGTTTCCTTTCCCTTGAGTGACATTCTTACTGTTAGTTATGATTTCACCAACATTTATAGTTTTCAGCTCGATTTGCGGACTGAGCTTAACATGAAAGGAGTAACACCATTCTAGCTAAACGTATTTCATGGATATTCAAGAAATATCTCAAATATTTATGTAATTTCTCCATCTGACTGTTATTTAGTTATTGTCTGACTGGAAATACATCCAACAAAATTTGATCCCCTCTCAGGTCCTTTTATGTTTATTCCCTGTTTTTTTAAGAGAGTTCCATAAAAATTTGAAGGAGACAATCAATATCAGGAAATAACGATGTAATGCTTTAAGCTAATACATTTCTGAGAATAATTATCTGTATGATGAAAATACAAATTTACACTGTCTCATGAGCAATGTTTGAGTGACACCAAATAAATATTTGCAAATAAGATGAGTGTGCTGCAGTGATAAGTGATGAAATCTATAAACGGACTAAAAGATAGCTAGATGGGTATATATTATGTCTGCTACTTTACCAAATGAAAAAAAAGAGAGTTGAAACGAAAGATTTTATTACCAAACACAAAGAAAACTGAACCTTTTTCCCTCGAATTGCCTCAAAACTTATTCCGTTTACCGAAAAGTGACAAGGTCCTTAATGTCTTGTCTAGCACTGAACAATATCAATGTCATGTGTTACTCAACATCAGAAATATATATATATATTTATATATATATGTATATATATATATATACTTGTTTACATCAGACGATTGCTTTCATGATTTCATTGTGCCTCGACCCATTATGGCTTTTTTGGTGTTCCTCTCAGGTTTCAGCAGGATTATGTAACATTTGGGTCCAAACAGCGCCAACAGGAGACCAAAACTGGACGTCAGGATGGCAAATACCTCCACTGCATCTGCATATTTTCCTGGAGAGTTAATATAAGCAGGAACAAAAGCCACCCA